GTCCATGAGACGTTCTACGTTCTCACTTTAACGGCGAGCGAACACTTAGCAAACGGTGTGTGGACGCTGAGCGAACGGTGAACAAACACAGCGAACGCTGAGTTAACGGTGCGTTAACGCTGAACGCAATTTGGTGAACGATTGGTGAACGGAGAACGGTGAGCGAACGGAGCATAAACGTGAGCGCAAAGTGAACGGTGTACAAACGGTGAACGCAAGATGAACGATTTATTCAAAATAGCTTTTTACTTTTCCTTATATCAAACGCTTTGTGAACGGTGAATGCGAGCGGTAGATGAACGCTGAACGCAAAGCTGTGAACGGTGAGCGCACGGTGACAAGAGTGCTCGCCGAAGAAACGGTAAACGCACGCTGAACGAACGGTAAACTCACGCTGAACGAGAGGTGAGCGAACGGGAAAATGGGAAAGTAGATCGTTTTAAGGATTATAAGGATAAATCCTTCTGAAAGTAAATATACAATAGGAATCTGGTTACAAGAGTAATGGTGTCTCGAAGGTAAGAAGAAAACCATTTCGAGTTAAAAAGAAAACTGTCTCGATTACAAGAGGTCCCTGCCTCAATTGGCAGGACAAAACTTTACTGAGGATATTTCTGAATTCATGGTTATAGATCACATATTGTCGACTCTAATTCTTAATGTATAAGTGTTATGATTGAAAGTTTCAGAATACAGTTGCATGTAAAGATACAAAATTTCTTTTCTTTATAGCAGCTGAAAAAGATTATGATGACAGATTTACCTGGACTTTAGTGAGTGTTCTACTTTACGTAAGCATTATTATAAATGCAGCTGTGGCAGTTTCATTTACTATGAAAAGGTGAGTTCAAAATAATATTCATAATAAAATAATACTGTGGAATCATTGTTGTACGCGGGACATAAACGTTCTTCGATATCGTGGGTAAACCTTATTCACGAATTAACATTCCCAAGAACATTGATACACACATATATTGTGCACAGATGATACATGAATTGTAAAACATACACGTTACGCACAACATTACATCCTGTCGAACAAATAAAAATTTGGTTAGCTACGAATATTAACCCTAGGAACAGTGATGATTCAAAAGCATCTCTTGTTAAATTGATAAAGTCGAACCCTGAGTTTATTTACATGATTTCGGTATTCATTAGTCTTTAATTACCTTTAAGGTTCTACAGATCAAAATATTAGTAATATTAAGCATCACATCACATTAATCTGTCATTAGATATAATTTTGCGTTTATTCACAGTGATTTCAAAACAAAATTGTAATCAGAAATTTTTACCTTTAAGGGTCTACATAATGCTAAAAAGTAAGCAAGCAAATGAAGAACCTGAAAGGATGAGTGCAAGAACATCATTGCAAACATCTCCAATGAACGTGGATATAGAAAGGGTCAGAGGAATTAATGTTAGCCGGCTTGGGCATCTTACAATTAATAATGAAGAAGGGGACTACGATATTGTTTTATGAGTAATGGTTTTGACAGTACTTATTCAAATTAAACGATTAACCTTGTGTTTCAGACGGGGATGAATGTATATAATTTGCCCCCTCCCCTGTCTTAAAGTTGCTAATCAATGACAATACAGTTGAAGTCCTCAACGAAATATCTCATATCATTATTATATTATTAATTTGTGGTCTAGATTAATGTACTATGCATTCTTTCTGTTTTCATTCATTATTCTTGACGAGGCAAAATATACCAAGATATAGGCAAAATACGCCAAATATCAAGGGTAGACGGATATGTGTTATTTGTATATAATTCTAGAGAATAAAAACTTAATTTACTACTAATATATAATATGTTTTGCAGAAAACAGATGTATTCTCATTCTCACGTTTTTTTAACCTCACAAGGGCCGAAGTCTCAAGTGATTTCCAAATCACAGTGTACAATGTCCCTCTGTTTGCCAGTCCACCGTCTACCATCAGTCTTATGTTGTCTGAAAAAATTGCATATACATGTATTCTCACATTTTCATCTTCTCCAGAACCACTGGGAAAATTTCAACCTCTATTGCCAAACATCTTTGCAAGAAATACATTAAAACTACTTTTCAAGAACTCTACAGGTACAATTGCATCTGTATTAATCTGTTAATATGCATTTAAACTTTTTCATATAATTCACCTAGGGTAAGGATAGAGCCACTTAAGACAATCATAGGTTTTTTTACAGCAATATATAATAAACAAAAATTGAAGAAAAAAAAAACATGCATACATGTATTCACTAAGAAATGCAGAGTGGATTGTGCCAAGTATATTTTGAACACCAAACAATAAAGTACACGTATCACTGAAAAGTTTGCTTTGTTGCTCCATGAATACTAACACCTTTTCTGAGACATAAAGTCGTAAAACCCGTTGTAATTTTTCAGGGTTTCTATGAAAATAGATTTGGTTTCGTTTAACAATTTGCTTACATCAAAAAGGATACTGAACAGAATTTAGCATTTGCTATTTTTTTTTTTAAATAATATGATTGAAGAAGATAAGGTTCGGAATTTTTAATGCAGCCTAGTACGTTTTAGATCAGACTCACAGTAACTTTTTCTTAGCCATGCATTTATCTTGCATATCTGAAAGAAAAAAATCAAACATTCAAAAGCTTACAGCAAACAGACGACAGACTAACGATAAACAAACGTTGGTATGAAGAAAATCATACCTGTGTTTATATATATAAAATTTATTGCACACAATAAAGACAATTCATTCAATGCTACCTCGAAAATTATCAGGCAGAAGACTATACGAGATCGATCATATAAACTGTCTGTAATATAAATATTTCATCTCATATTCAGATATTACTTGGGTTCCCTTGCCAAGCACCTTTTTAAGCAGTTTGAGTTTGGGAGGGCGGTTGGGGTGAATTTTGTCACTTAAGAAATATTCCCTATTTTAAACCGACTTGCCTTATCAGAATTATATTAAATGGTCATATGGAACATGATAAAGCAAATCTGCACATCTGGAACATGATCAAACATATCTTTAACCAATTTCAACTATGTTGCAAGTTTGATCATAGCTTTTATTTTTAATCGCTTTGGGAATCAGCTTCTTTCATAAATTCTAACTGATCACATAGCTGGAAAAATAAATCAGATTTATGTTCAGATGCTTCTATACTAATATGCAATGTGCAAAAATCTGTCAGGATTAAATTTAGTTGATATAAGTTTTAACTCACCCAAATATTTAAATGTTCAGTTGTTGCAGCATTTGAAACAAACTGTCAATACTTACCGAGTTCAGTAATGCAGAGTTGTTATTCGATGACCTATAACAAGCTGTTCCCACACCAATTATCTCGCCATTGTACATGAAGCAAACTATTCCATTTAATTTGTAACGCTGCTCAAGCAACAAGCTAATTTTTAGAACACCTTTTAATTCCCAGTCTTTTTTGAAACTAAACTACGAAGTACCCTAACAAAAAATACTATAGTTAAGTAAAGTTAACTATAGTAAATCAAAGTTTTCAAAGTGATCACTATAGTAAATCAGAGTTTTCAAAGTTATCACTAAAGTAAATCAAAGTTTTCACCATAGAAAATCAAATTTTCATAGTGATCACACCAGTATTTTCATAGATATCACTAAAGTGTCATAGTGATCACAATGGTAAATCAAAGTGTCAAAGTTATCACTATAGTTAACAATAGTTTTCATAGTGTCAAAGTTATCACTTCAGTTAACTTTAGTAAACTATAATTAACTATAGTATATATTTCTTTTTTTTTTTGCTAGCGACGCCTCTCACAATATTTAATGAAGCAGTATGACCATTTTCTCATGAACTAGCACCAGCTTTTATAATATTCCAAAAGATGAATGAAAATTAAATGCGCCTTAAATAAATAATTCAAATCTTGCAAATATAATGCGTCAATCATTCACAAACAGAATATCATGGAATATGAAACCTCTAGTGTAAGCAAACACTGTCTAGAAAAAAAAAAATTGTAGGACAATACACCACTTTATTAAAATGACAGAATATCAATCTTTATTAATCTTTTACCATTATGATATGTTTAAACTTCCTATGAGTTTCGATTTTTCCCCATAGTAGACATTCACAATTTGATCTTTGGAACTTGAAGAAAAATGAAATTGGAAACACTGAGTTTCAGATACAGTACAAGATATACATATGCAATATTGATATTATTTATTCCGAGTAAATATTGAAATTAAAAATGAAAAACATAGAATGAGTTCTAAAACATTCATAAGAAAATTGATATATCTGTAATTGATACAATACATTTGCACCAAATGTTTTCTGGAGAGAGAGAAAAAAACAATAGCTTCTATTAGTATTTATGTTAATTTGGTCAAAATTTCAGGATGCTTACATAAAATTAACGTAAAAGATGAAAATAACGAACAGTAATCAATCTCATAAATACAGTTAGGATTCGAATGGTGAACAGGGCAATTACAGACCCTTGGAAGCACCGCAGGTGGAATCAGGTGCCTACGAGGAGTCAATATCCCAGATCGACTGGTCACACCAAACTTGAGCCCTTTTTATTGATCTAATGAACTTTTTTCTGGAAAAAGTAAGTAAATTGGAAATAGGAAGCAAAATTTTATGATAATGCTTACTGCGATGCCAGCAAACGACTGGTGTTTGACAAATGTTAAAAAATGAAAGAAATAGTAATATTGATGATGGTTTGCTAACTGGAAAATAGGAAGATAATCAGTAAAGTAAAAACATATATATATATATATATATATATATATATATATATATATATATATATATATATATATATATATATATATATATATATAACCTTGAACATCATTAATTTGCACGTAATATTAAAAAGTCTAATATTGCTATTTTCAGAGATAACTATATATTAATATAACCAAATAAAATTATTTTTTTTTTTCACAAAAAGGGGAAAAGGAATAGTTACTTCATACAAATTGTGATATTGATTGATCTACATGCTTAGTCATTTGTTTATATGATAAAAAGATATATTTATTAACTTCTGAAAAATCTGTTCATTTAATATGAAAAAGGAATATAATTCGAAAAGTAGTCTCGTAAGATTTAGAGTTAAAAAAAACCTCGATCATACCTTGTTTTTAGCCCAGTATATATGAAGGTTACATCAAACAAATTATAAGCCTATGGATAAGAGATGAAAGTCTAACGATAACAAATGTTGGCAAAATCTATTCATAAAAATGGAAAATATACAATAAATACGCGCCTTTACATCAAGCCCATCTTAAAGTTATTCAGTAAAATTAAATCACATTTAATATGGTGCGTTACAAATAATAGTTGAAGTAGTACACATGCTAATTCTCTAGTTATAAGTCATATAAATAGAATCTAAATTGATAAAAAAGTTTTTCTTCTTTGGCATCATTGTGAACATGGTTGAGGCATGAGAATTACGTCATCGATTGCTATATCACTCCGGTACGTGTTTCCTCTGATTGCCGCAATTGCAATCTAAATATAAAAAAAGCGATGTAATTAATAGAATGCCAAGATCACATATAGTTCAATCTCAGCCCTAAACCTTCCGAATAATCGAAAAAGAAAGTATAGTAATATATACAATCTTGTCGCCTGTTTTTACTAAGAAAGTCTGTTTTACCCAAGTGTCTTTATTAAGTGGCAAATTAACGTCAGTAGTATGCCATTCGTTCCCTTGTGTTCCACTGACGGCAAAGTGTTCTTTAAAGCCGAGGTCATTGTTGTATGTATAGATTGAAAATGTTCCCATACCGCTTCCATACATATGGTAAGCCAAACTAAGGCAGTACGTCTTGTCTGCATAGATAGAAGTAGCATACATATAATGATTTATTTTTTTTTTTTGAATTTTATATTTATAATGAATTGATACTTGATGAATTCCTCGTCAACTTGAAAATGGCTTTGTCTATAATCCATAAAACATTTAATTGAAAAAAAAATCTAAATATGGAATACGACATTTTCTATGTCACAACTAACTTTTTTTTTTTAAATTAATCAGATTTGTAAATAAGCAGAAGATCAATTATAATAAGACATGTGACGTCATTCATCACCAATTGAACACAATTTAAAAGAAAATTCAATATAATATATTTCAACCGATTTGAAATATATTATTATACCCAATTTGCACATAATTTATTGTACATAGAAACTACATCCAAAAAATCTCTGAAAAGGGACAGAATCATTACTGTTATGACAGAAATTATTTTGTACATAATTTACTGATTTTAAGTGTATTTGTTTTTCATTTTTAAGAGTCAACTGTTTTGATTTTTTGTGGGGGTAGATGTGGGTAGGGGATGAAGGAGAGTTTTTTTTAATTTAGATTTTAAGGATGCCTATAAAAGTCGAAAAGAGAAATAAATAGATAGGGATAATGGTAATACAGGACAGTGTTATTGAAAGAAATTTCAGCAATCAAAAATATATATGCATCATATGACATAAAATCATCTTGGCCAGCTATCTATTCAGTGAATGCTGTTAAGAGAAATATCAAATTGCAGTCGATTGATCATACAGAGTACCTGTTGCATAATTATTTTTATGGTTTCATTGGAATCATTTGCGTTGTTAATATTAGTTTTCGTTTTATAATTATATTTTAAAGTTAGTTTAAAAAATGCATGCATTCTGGATCCATTCGTTATTTCAAATACTATTTGCTGGGAAGTAGGATACCGTATAATACTTACTCTCAAATTCAACATTGTCATCATAGACATAATAATGTCCCCCCTTTGAACAATCAGTAGCCTCGAAATAAAAATAGTAATATCCCTCATATGCATATAATGGACCCGTTCCACTTGAAGGCGTCGCTCCCTGAAATGATCGTTTAAGATTTTTACTATAATAAAAATAATGTTTACTCCAATAATAATCATTTACTTCAATAATGAGACTGTAATAAAACTATTGCAAAACTTAAATATCTTCTTACCATTATTCTAAACCAAGAAGATGTATCATCGTCTGTAGCCAAGAAGCAAGCTGGGTCATTATCAACTTCAAAACGACAAGAACGACCTATTGTTGAGAAGAAATGAATTAAAACGTTGCTACAAAATTATAGCCAATATATCTTTGACCTCAATATTTCAGTTATTTTTAGAAACAACAACACCAGATATATATATATATATATATATATATATATATATATATATATATATATATATATATATATATATATATATATATATATATATATATATATATATTCCCGAAAGAAAAAGTAACGAAAGAATTAATAAACTACAATTAATTCTAAATATAACAAAATAAAAACACCAATTCGATAACAAAAAAGTACATCTTTCATGCATATGTCAGTAAAATGAAGAAATGATCTAGCTTATTTTCAGTATTTTGATTTGAGGCAGATTAATAATAAAAATTATGTAGAGTGAATCAAAAAGATATAATTGTTTTAACATAAAAAATTATATATAGTGGAAGAAAGAACATTGAAATTAGGATTATATGTGAATTACTGAATATTTTGACCAAGTTACACATACATGTATAAGCTATTATAGTTTAAACGAGAGAAGTGCAATTAAGATTTATTGAATATATAATAAATTAACATTTAAAAGGAGGCACTAATGCGATTTTTTTATTTTCAAATCAAGAAGCTCTATTTTTTTTCAAAACAACATAAGTTGCGTGTTATAACAAGATGCGATTATAAGATTATAAAAGCCTATTATTCAAATGTTGATGTGGATTCTACAGAAGGATCTTATTAAGCTTGTTAAATTGTAAGCAAAAGACAGGTACCTTCGCATTTGTCTCCGACATAACCTATTACGCAGTTGCACTTATAACCTTGTATATTGTCCTTGTCTGCTACACATGTACCCCCATTCTGGCAATCATGGTTGAAACATACATCGACTATAGTAACAAACATCTAATCTGATAAGCATTACAGATGTAATTTATATTAGACATCGTAATAAAATTATCTGCAAATTACAAACAGAACCCCCTTTTACATGTTCTAATCATGTTTTATCCTAATTCTCATTTCCTAAAGCAGTGTCAAGATTAGTTATAATGCCTTGACCATTTTTTTTTCAATTATCAACTACTGTCAGTAGTTTCAGTAATTCTATTATTATGCATTTTTAAGTTTTTCCATTATTTTTTATAATAAATTTGTTGAATTAAGTGTTTCAATAGAGAAGATGCTTATATATAATTACTTTCACATATTTCCCCTGAAAATCTTTCTGGACAGGTACATACGTATCCAGTTTCGGTGGGTGAATTCAATTCCTCACAAGTTCCGCCATTTTTACAGGGATTAGATATACATTTTGTACCTGAAATTTTTAATAAAAAGTAAATCTTTTTTAAGCAATCTAAAATCCTATTCCTGAAAGAGCTATACATTACTGATGGTAATAATAATTTCAATTGACATCGTTGAAACATGGGGGTTGCAATACGTTTGTGAAATAGAGCTGCGAGTTATTCTGTATTTTTTAAAAAAGAGTGTTTTTGGATTAAAAACTTACACAATCCTGGACGAAGAGATATATTGTCCACTCCAACAAAGGAATTTCCCAAAATGCCCTCTATGGTGATCTACCAAATTTATTTATTATAAAATGCAAATAAAAAAATGATTATTTTAAACAGGAAAACTACATTAAAACAAGCTAAAAGCCAAGTGCCAAAGATATACAACTTCATTATGTTTTGAACGTGCTTCGATACAATGGAAAGATTTATTATACATTTTAGTTGTTTTTTTATAAACAAATGTCAAATTGAATTTAAAAGATATAAAATGGATCTCAATATTTCAAATTCAATCTGCCAAAAAATACAAATTAAAAGAATAAATTGTTTTTATAATAAGAAAAGCTTTGAAACCTATGAGTTATGAGTTAAGTATTTAATTTTTTTTATTTTTATTTGCCCGATCATGACAAGGAGCACACGGCGGGTATGATCGGACGACAAGAGATTCTTACTCCTCTATGGCAACTTATCCCACCTCTGATGTTTGAAGAGATCCATGAGCGCACTACTTCCAGTTTGTACAAGTATTATTTCAATGGAATTTTGAGCTTGACTACTGTTCGTTATCTAATATTTCCTTCATAAAATTTACCGTACCACTAGATCCTCCATGGAGTCGACAGATACGATTGCAGTCCGCCATTTGTAATTTGTTGTTGTTTTGATATTATATAACTTGGACCTCTTCTTTTCACTTCCATCTATATATACGGTTATTTCTGCTGGAGCTTCGCCTGATGGAAGTTCGCCAATAGCATAGTCGAAAGATAGACATCGGTCATTGGCTTAAAAAAAATCTCAGAAAATTTGGAAAACAAAAAGAATACAGAATATTGTTTTTCATATTATGCCTAGTGATACAGAGAATTTTAAATCTACACAGAAAAAAAAAAACATATATTGCCATATAAAATAAATAGAAACAGGTTCCACAACTTGTTCCTAAAGCACGTAGAGTATACGATATATGTAGATTACCTGCAATTTGAGCTCTTGTTTTTATAATGGCTTTTGATTCGGCGGTGTATGGAACATCGTCGTAGAATGGAGTCATGGTTAGAAACTGGTAGTCATTACCGTGTGTTATACATGGTCCATCTTCACTTTCACAAATTCTCTGTATATTACAACAATACATTAAAATAAAACAAACAAATAACCACCTTATTTATTTTTTTAATTGTGAAGTACAAATGAATCACAAAGCGATTTGAATTAAACTATAGAGCACTAAGTTTAGAACTGGTTTTATATAAAATAATATGATATAAGTGGTTTACATATATATTCATTTGTTGATGTTTTATAATGCATTCATTTTCTAAAGGTACATACATCTATCCTATCGCATGATTTCAATTTAAAGGATCTCCGACTTTAAAGTTCTATTTCGTTCAAACATCTTTCTCTCGACCATTTTTTTTTTTTACTTTTTTCAATGATTTTTTTTTTTTTACTTTCCTTCAGTGCATCTCCTTGCTTTAATACCTGATATCAAACTTGCCTCACATTACATATCCAAACAAATTTACCGTATTGAAGCTCCATAAAATATCCCCCGATTTATCTTGGTCAAATAAACATGTCCCAAAATCATCTTCAAACTTGCAGAAATTCTCTGACAGTGCTGCAAGGAAACGATGGAAATAATATTCATTGTAATAATTATAGATTTTTATCCCTTATATTGAAAATAAACTTTTACATGCAAACAAATTTTTTGAAATACATTCTTTCTTGTCATTTTTTTTTCTTGTTTCCTTTTTGTACTTTTTTATTTTGTTTTTGTTTTGTTTGTTAAGCTTTTAGGATTTTTGGATTTTTTATGGGGGTTAATTTTTTGGGTTGAACATTTATTAGCACTATATAATTTTAGAAGGTATGAGGTGGTTAACATATTATCAAACATATCCATCTAAATGAAGACATGTGATTTTTTAGCCACAAACTACTATTAAGTCAAGATTACAATACACGTTTCAGCTTCGACAATTTATATAATTTTCTTTCAGTTTTATTTTTACAGAGCAATTTTTAAAGGGAATAAGTAGTCAAAAAAAATGGCAAAGAGTAATGCTATTTTTTTCATTTTGGCTAATTCTGACTTGGTAGATATACTAGGATTCTTGCACCATAATACAGCTATTAATAATACGAGTTACATTACCTCCAAATTCATTACAGTTTTCTCCTGACAGTCCGTTTTTGCATGTACATGTGTATGATCCACCGTTGCCTCCTTCTGCGCATGTTGACCCCGTCTTGCAAGGAGAACTCATACAACCTATAAGAACACGTAGTTATTCAGTTGACTTGGTGTACAGAAAGGTATGTCTCCATATCCAAATAAAATTTAGCATAAAGCAATTCTACATCTAGCCTGAAATTTGTATAGCAACTCTTTTAACATTGTTTGTAGCCAAAACATTAAAAAAAAATATTTTTAACCTTCACAAAAGAGTGTTTTTCAGGAACTGATTCAATAAATTACAGGATGAAACTCTGCCATTCAGTTAACTGCAAGGTGACTGAAAGTCTACTAAAAGATAATTTAATGGCAAAGCTATTCCATTGACCATTCAGTTGAATGAATGGTGCAGGTTCATCCTGTAAAAATGATTTAAGACAAATAGAAAAAAAACTGTTCGATTTTATGTGATCTTTTTGATTTTATACTTGATTTATCCAACTGGTTATAATGATGGTTATTCACGATACACGATTGCTTTATCCAGCTTGTACAGAGGAAGTTTATTCTAGACATGCAGTATACGGTAGACATCTTTTTGTTTATACATATGGTGGATATTACTTGTTGAATAAAGTATCGGTTGAAATCAATATCCATCTTTTCAATGTCTTAGAAAACAAATCCATGGAAAAAATAAACTGACGACTAAAATAGCACAGGAGAAGCAAGCTCTGAAGACATCAATGTATAATACAAGTACAAAAAGTATATGTGCATTATTTAAAGAAAAAGAGTATAGCTAGAAATAGAAGGGCGCTAGCGCATAAAAGGATCAGGATCTTCAATGCGGTTTGTAGAGATATGCCTAAATTATTACACAGAAGTTTTGCGTTTAAACAAATTTTGTCAATCCCCTCTTCTTGACCTCCAGGCCATAGAAAAATCAAGATATATCAAGAAAATAATGTTAAAGTACATGATGAAAAAGTATTTTAATCGTCAAACGCCCATTAACATAATGAAATCGATATACAAGACGCTAATGTTTGACTGTTTAACATTTTTTTTAGATTATATAGGAGACGAAATTTACCTGGTAAATGACATGCATTAAGAGAAGATAAATTTAAAATGAAACTAGATCAGTACCTGATTGGAAGACCTCCATTCTAATTGTGAAACCGGTCCCTGGTAAGTGGTTGTTCTTACTGTTGAATCGGATCATGAAAGGCGAAGCCTCGCCAATATTCACTTGGGTATATGTTATTGGAGTTGTAGATTTCCCACACAGTCTATAAGATATTTACTGCAGTTTGTTTAAAAACCGTTCCTAATGCCTCGATTTACGCGTAAAAAACTCATATTGATTATACGAGGGTTGTTCGAAAAGTTCGTGGACTACCGTCTAAGCTTTTTTACTTAACGTCATATTATATCCAAAGTTGGAGGAAATATCTCAACTGATGTGTATGAAATTTTTTTTTAAATATCGTGGTTTATTTCAAACTTATTTAGACTTAAAAAATGCGAAAATCGGCCCACGGAGCAAGTCAAAATTTTGTAACTTACGATCAAGACACTAAATAATGTCTGAAGTCACATCTTCTGTAAAATGACACAAAAACGGAACAATTCTAAGCGTTCAAATTAAAAATCGTTTCAGCGTTTCTGATTCCAGATTATGACTTTGTTTCGTTGAAAAGAAATCAGTTTCAGAAGTTAGGTAGTCCTCTTTGAAATACGCAAAAAAGATGACGTCGTTGAACGTCACGGAGCAGCATTTAACCATACAATTTTGTGTTGTACTCAAGAAAACTCCAGAAAAAACTGAAAATTCCAGAGGAAGTAGGAAATTCGTCAAAAGCGAGCCATGCATGTGTATGTCAATGGTACAAAGGGTATTTGAATGATAGACTACTCTGTTTAGACGATGGTGATCTGTGAGAAAACGGATTGTCCGTAAAAATCTTATCAAAAATATTGAAAAGCTAGTAACGTCAAGCTAAGAATTTGGCGCTTCACATATGCTGATCTTGTGAAAGCACAATTATGCAGTGAAAAAAAATATAACATTGACAAACAGAATGATGCTACTGAAACAATTGTTAGCATTATACATTTCAAGTGATAGAGAAACGTTTTTATTGAGTGCACTGGTATTGGGCAATACCGTATGAAATTTACAGGGATAGTACTTTTGGGAACCTTGTGTCGGTATGTTTTTGACGTTACAGTATTGTTGAGTTTGCTCCGTGGTTACAAAACGTGTTGATTTTAAAATTAGATAACAGGAATTCTATTAAAACACATGGGGTGAAACTTCACACTAAAACAAAATAAATATTTTACATATGATAATGCGCTCATTTTAAATTTCTTGAAGATAGCGCTCATTTTAAATTTCTTGAAGATAGTGTAACGAAAATTGGCATAGTTTACGAACTTTCCTAACAACCCTCGTATTAGCATACAAATTAAAAGTCTGTATGAATATTATGATTAGTATACTCTTTTCCAGGATCTCCAATGAGGTAATCACGGATTTCCAACCAGTGGTAGCACTCCTTTCTAACGCTAAAGGGAAGATCAATGGATGTGACGATAGCTTTGATTACCGAATCAGATTCAGCCTACAATGTAAAATATTTTTTTTAAAACAAGATAAGGAAAAGTTAAACGTTGTCCTAACAATTTTTTAGGTTCTTGTCATCAATATATTGAAACAACATTTCAATTCTTTTTTACATATTTTATAAAGTCAGTGCCACACCGAGATAATGAAATATAAAAAAGCGTTCCTGCTAGAAAGCAACTTTTGAACATCCATCGGGCATTTGGGGTTTATGGAATTTGATAACATAACCAACCTATATCGTTATCCCGATATTTTTTTTTAGATATATTTATTTCTTTATTCAGCATTTCTTTATATACTTCAGGATGATCTTACAAGCTTTGTACTGTAAATGCTAAAACTTCGCAGTTCTTGTGCAAAATCAGTTCTAGTGATGATCTAAAAATCTTACCTTCACCAGCCATGTACACATTTTTCCAGAACTGTAAGATGTCATATTAATGTCACGTGATTCGCCATTAAAAAGCGTAATGGTTTCCCCACAACCTATATTAGAACATAAACCAAATTAACTAATCCGCATTGGCAGAACTAATTATTTTTTTTTTAGTTTTATACTAGATATACACTATTACACAGATTATAGCATAATGAAGCAACTTTAAATACACATTTTTTTTTCCTTTTTGACAAATGTATCTTACCGTCTTGTTAATGCTAAAAAAATATTTTTCTAAAAGCCGAAGTTCTCTCTTGTCTTGAAGGATTGATTGATTAATTAATGTTTTACGCCGAATCGGCACAATTTCAGCCATATATCGGCCAATCAGGATTAAAAAAAAAAGACAGTGACATGCGTCAGACATTATTTAATTCCTTAAATTGATACATATATAAGGGGAAAAAAACTTTCAACCTACCGACGTCAGTGTCCAACTCTTCACAAGTTGTGCCCTTTAACCCAGAAGGACAATGACAATGGCAAGTCTGCTGATCTACTGCCTGCATTCTAAACCCGTCATTCTTACAGGTTACACTACAGCTAGCTAATTATATATATATATATATATATATATATATATATATATATATATATATATATATATATATATATATATATATATATATATATATATATATATATATATATATATATAGTGTTAATAACATGAATAATAACAGAATATAGTCTTCCTAAAATTCATATATTTCAATTTCAATAAAAAAAGGAAACAAGAAAAAACAAAAAGAAAAAAAAAACAAAACAAAAGCAAAAGCAAAAAACAGAAACAAAACAAAAAAAAAAGGGGGGAAAAAAAAAGAAAAACAAAACAAAACAAAACTAAGAATGTATACGTCTTTGAATAACATCCATATAAATGAAACATATAAACAAAAAAATTGGATTTTTTACAATACTTGTCTCATTTTGTTGTTTGCTTTGCAGTCCAAATTGACATTATATCACAAATCATGAAATCCAAGACCCCCCCCCCCCCCGCCTTAAAAAAAATAATAATGAAAGATAAATTGTGAGATTTGTTTTGTTCACATTTATTTCTCGATAATCAAAATAATTCATATAGTCAATGCTTAAAATGCAATTTGAGTTACAAATTCACGTACGTATTTATTAATCAACAAAGTCGAGAACTTATAATTACACGCTGCAGCTGCGAAGCAATATATAAATTACAAATGTATACAATTATATCTGAAACGGGTTCAGAAGCCTGAATGTTTTGTACATGGCGGATAACATTCTCTAACTATATTACTGAAAAGGAAATCTCAATATTATTTGCCTCTTAAATAATTATAAGGTTTGCTATCTTTACAGCGATTGCAAAACACATCTAGACACTTGCTTTGTTGTTAGTAAAATTTAAATGATACATCAACGATCAATCGTCAAGTGCTTCATCTCTGATGTCTTTACTTTCAAATTCAGTTCTGGAAATGACCATTTTTGATGAAATACATGAGTGCACATGTCCAACTTTGCTGTCAGTTACCTCATCCCTTTATTTACATGATTTGTATGCAAAAGAAACACAAAGAACAGAATAACACAAGTTCCTATCAAGAAAATTTCAGTATATTTTTCTGACTGTTTGTTATAATAAGCATAATTTGTCATTTAATAACTTGTTATCCATATATACGAATTTGACATAATATTGTCACGTGTGAGCACATTTCATAAAACATGTGCCTTCTTGCAGAGTTATATTCCTTGCAAAACCCCGGAATAATTCAACAGCAATGATAAACTAAGTACATTGCATGTTTTTCGATATGATATGGTATCGCAAAATAATGATTGAATTCTCCTCAATTTTATACTGATTAGAAATCTTGACTTTGCTCATAGTGCTGACAACAACCGTCAGAAGTTGGCCTATTCGCTTAAAGTTACAGTCATCGAAAAAATGCCTTTGTCCATACTAATTAAACTAAGCAAAGAAATAAATTACAAAGGAAAGTAACCATAGAGTAAAGTAAATAAATTTAAAAAAAATTTCATTTGGAAAAAGATAAAATACAAACTGGTCAATACAAATTGTTTCAATTAAATAACTGACCTGTTGGACATTTATACGCCTTGTTAACCTCTGCCATATCATAGAAGGAGAACATGTACTTGGGATTTGAAATAAGATACTCTAGGTCCTTATCAGGTATTGTCATTGTATTCTTATTATTTGTTGAAAATGCCTACAAAAAATCCAAAATAATAATAATAATAATAATAATAATAATAATGATAATAAAGCGGTTAATCTCATGTTATGATTAAAATTCACGTTTATATATGTTTACAATAAACATGTGCATGTACTTCTCTGTTTTGTTAAAATAAATTGGAAATTCATTTGAAAGGATCTCTTGTGTTTACTTAATTGACAGAAACACCAAGGAGAGATAATATTAAGAGGTCGTTCACTTATGAACTTCTATTTTTAGTTTCTTATGTATTTTTTGTTTGTTTGCTTAATGTTCCTTCACGAATTGTTCACTCATATTGAGACGCAATCCCGTGCAGTTGGAGAGCTGCATATTTAGACCGCTACTCTGCACTTAGGGTCTTTGACCAGTGAGATTTTTTTTACGTGCAGGAACCTACTGCTACACGGGGCCTCGGTTTCTTCCGCTCATTCGAAGGACCGCTCTCTGTGGATTTGAACCCGCGATGTAAAGATTAATTCCTCACTCCGCGACTCTAGAGCAAAAGCTCTAACCACTAAGTTACGAGGGAGACTTGTTCTAGATTTTTAGCCTTATATTGAAAGGATGTTAACTGTAGAAATCTATTCTTGAAATTCAATAAAGATGTCCTAAAACGTGGAAACCTGGACGATGTAAAAATCAAATACTCGTCTTTTTCTCATCTGTTTTTAAATAGCAATATAAGATAGTTGTAGCCATCAACGATTCTACTATTATGTTTCTATGTAATGAAATCGTCAGACTTTCAATTTTTCATCACATCTCTTTAGTTTGAAAAAAAAAAAAAAAAACTATTATGCTGGAAGCTTAAATGAACCAAAGTACATGTATATTGTTTTTAAACTTTTTTACTGAAAAATATTATATCGAACAAGGTTCTAAAGCCTTGATATAATAATAATATTTATATTGATTCAAATTCTATCCCCTTTTTAAAAACAGCTTTAGAATTACGATAACATTAATCTTTAGAAAAAATATTATTTAGTATACACTGTTTTATTTATATTTTCTTACCGTAAGGTGATATTGTAAAATTGACATGTAGTCATAAACTTCTCTGTTTTTGGTATGTTGATCGAGACTAAACTGATCATTATTTTCAGGTTCGATATTTTCCCAGTTGATTTTCAAAAAATCCCTTCTTTTGTTTCTCTGTTGTTCATGAAGACCGCCCATTGCATGGTGCATTTCATGTAATACGGCATATTCCTAAAACATGACAAGCTGAGAAAACATCTATAGCACTCTTAGGTAGAATTTACTGTAACTGTCCTTTTTTCCATTACACATTTCGCTGTCTAAAGAAATTCACATATGAGCGAAGATATGACTATGTATTCCTGTATTATGACACGAATAAAACTTACATCTAAACATCCTTCACTAAGGGAAAGAATTTGCCCACCTTCATCGCTTATATTTCCAACAAACGACCAGCATCTATTGAAGAGGAAAAACATATGCAGTATTTCTTTTCAAGAATTTTTAAACTCAATTTACACGGCATCTGTAGCTATGTTAGAGATTTCAAAGAAATGTGTATTAAATTTCACTTTGTTTTCTTATTTGAATATGTTTTATTTAGGTTCTCTATTTGTTTATTCCTCAATACCTTTTATCTTTACGTCAAATGAATTTGTCATCAGATCAAACACTCTGTGGTCTGTGATCACTGTGCTTATCAATAGAAAATATTAAGACATTCATCATAATCTATCCCCAGGTTTAAAAAGCTGGCGGTAAGCGTTGATACGATTAAGAACCCTCACTGCTCAATTGCAATTGGCGGATTTCGGAGTATAGGTCTTAAGTTGAAACTCCTAAAGGTTATATGCTGGCATCTCTATATGAGTGAAAAACACTCAAATGAGACGCAAAACAACATACAGTCAATGAATCGATATAATTTTGTTTTAGGTCTAAATTTCTAGCCCCTCACAGTGACTCTAAAAATGAAATTTCTCGAATAGGAAACAAAACAACATACTGTCAATCAATCGTTATAATTTTGCAACAAACATTAGTTTTCAAAGACGGAGATTTGTATTTGTGAGGAAGAATATATTCAGTAGAATTCAACAAACTAATATATGGATGACATATCCAACATAAATTTCAGACATTTTAATGCTAAAAGATGTATACATTAATTCAGTAAAAAAAAAAAAAAACTGTGGTGATGAACAATAAGATATATCATACCCATCGTCATTGCCAATAAATTTTATGAAATGTTTATCCTCACTTGTCCTTAATCTCCATTTCACACAAGTAGTTTGTGAGATGTTATGAGCAGTTTTCTGAATGAGTTCGACCGCCCGACTTAGTCTTGCACCTAAAACATAAAAACATAAATTTGGCGCAGGTAACGCTAAAATAGTTAATGCTCTTAATCGGGAAAAATAACAATTAAGGGAAATATATCCTGACACTAATCCATTTTTCAAATTCATATTTACTAAAGTATATATTGCAATTTGGCAATCTTTTCCATTCATGAAGCATGAAGAGAGATTCTTTATGATTGTAAAATGATAAACAATTGCATACTGATCAACTCAGGATTGCCTAGTGACCGTTACCGTAACTGTTTTGACCTAATGTTCTAATCTATTGCAGTAAATATCACATATTGATCATCCTTACCAAAAGATTTAGCGTCAATATTATATGGTATGACATTGTTTTTCCATAAAGGATTTCTTGAGATACCAAAATTTCTCTTTTCACGTGCTGCGACCTGCGAAAATGTGAAGAAACTATTTGAGTTTCGTAAACATGTTTGTGTTAAAGCCCAACTTCTATATACGTAAACTATAAATAATTAAGGTATCTTTATAATGAAACACAAATCAAGCCTTACTTTAAACTTTCTAAAACAAATATATACATATGATGAGGGGAGTACAACTGATTAAATATGAATATAATTATGTCTAATCGGGCATATTTAATAACTGCTTTATCATTTATAATCGACAATTTCTTGCATTGACGCGCTTGATACTGCTAGATTTTATTTAGAAGATGATCATCTCAAAGGCTCTGTTTCCTGTAAGGTAAAAGAAAGGGCTGAAAAGGACTTGTAAAGGATGGTATTTTGATGTTTTTCAATTAAATGCAAAATATTGTTTCAGTGTTAGGGATGAAAAAAGAAAATTATTAGCTTTTTTTTCATCTCTTCTCTTTTTTGGTTAATGTTAAGTAGATAAGGATCAAACCCGATTTTACTAAGTTGATAAACCAAATTATGTGATTACAAAAATCATGAATTATAATTGTAAAACCCTTTTAAGTAAAGAATTACAAAGAGATGTATGAGAGGCAAAGAAATAAAACCAATGCTTTTGCAAATATGTTTTAAAATACACATGATGTTTATTGTCTTTAAGCCATGTTTTATGTGAAATTATAGTGGAATTGGACTAAAGGGGGGGGGGGGCGACAGATGTATACCTTCAACAGTCGATTACAAAATTATATTTACCTTTGACTTTGATAAAATACTGCATGCCCTTACCCAAGACCCTTTGGTTAAAGAATATTTCAAATTAGACAGAGGAGAAAAAAGGTGTTCACTACTAGGATTCGACCTTGACCTTTCTTTTACAGCTTTATCCATATGTACTCTTTTGGTGAAGTTTGGGCTGATGGAACCAATGAGAGATAAAATATGCTCTTGACAAGGATTTCTAATAGAGTTTTGCTATAACTTTCACCGCGGATATAAGTACCTTGACTAAGGACACTGCACATGTATTAACTTAGAACATTGTATGGGTTATAATTGTAAGAATGAAGATTTTACACATAGGCTTTTGTACTTGACCTTTGATATAGAAAATTGATTGAATCAACGCACATCCTTAAACCAGAGACACTATATAGGTAAAGGTTTAATCAGATTGAGCCAAATGGAGAAAAAATGTTTTGGACAAGTAGAAAAGGACGGACAATCGGCCAAGAACGGACAGTCAGAATAATAAATCATTATAGGGCACCCCTAAAGCGTAAACATTTTTAGTTTGTACAAGAATTACAGAAAATACTTATCAAATGTTTTCAAACAAAGTTTCATTTTGATAAGTTATCATCCGATCTATAATTTTAATTCATTCATAGTTATAAAAAAATGTAAAGGTTGAAATGTGTCACTAATTCGGCAATGCCTGTAATGAGATGACTGTAATCTAGACCTATACTTTCTTCCCTTAATCATCCCTTACTGTAAGACCTAATCTGACATTCCAATATAATCATTTATGCAAGACCTATACTATCATTCTTATATAATCCCTACATGCAAGACCCATACTATTATCCTTAATTCATTCTTTCAAGCAATACCTTTATTGACATCCTTATATAATCACTACATGCAAGACCAATTCTATCATCCCATATTCCCTACATACAAGACCTATATTTTCATCCGTAAATCAATACCACATGCAATGACTATACTGTCATCCCTATATAATCCCTATATGCAAATCAATACTATCATCCTTACACCAAAATTTACATTGGTGAGGAAATAGTGCCAATTCTTACATCTCATGTATAGTTTAATCTTCGAAATTTCCCTAGTGTAGAGAGATTGAATACGCTTGTTGGTCTTTGTGTGGTCAAAAACCAGGAAATATTCTCCCAATCCTTTTATATTTAAGGTTTTTTTTTCGTTGTATATAATCTCTCTCTCTCTATATATATATATATCTCTCTTTACTGAATATCTAAATATTAGAATATGATTTTGACGCTAGTATTCGGTTTCTTTTAACCGTCTTTACTGCTTTCTTACCTTTCTGATTCCATACACCAGGGGCGGTCGTCGATCCTTTTCGTCATCTTGCTCTTGTTTCTTGTTGATACATAAATCATCGGGCTTGAGGGGAAAAAAAACAATGATCTTGTGTGCATAACAACCAAACTTCGCCGTTACAGCAAATGCGCATGCAATGAGTTTACACAAACTGCAAATGAATTTTGAGTCCATACAGTTAATGTATGAATGAATACCTTACATCTCGCTTTTTTTTTTCTTTGGAAAAAACAAAGATGTATTATCTAGAGCTGTCTTTCCTTCTAATGATATAGTGTAGTTTGTCCCTAAGCCTATAAAAGAATCTTGCATGACCCCTTTTCCAAAGAATGAACTCGCAAGGTAATATGACATATTCTTTCCAGAGTAATGTCCTACCAAGTAATATAGAAAGTTTACCGAACTAAACGGATTTTAAACTGCTACATGTCCCTGTTCAAAATTATATAGAATAGTTTAAAACTATTGCATGGTAAAAATATCAGTGTGTAGATTAAACATTAAGCCCACATAAAACAGTTTTTAAAAGATCCTATAGTTCCTGATTAAACACCATGCGGTGCAAAGATTAGATTATTATTTTTTTTTATCAATACACAAATTTAAGTACAGTTAAGGGAGTTGGTACAAAAATTTATTTTTCATAACGTGCATTAATAACATGGCTTAATCTACAGTTAGTGATTCCTGAAAAGTAAGTGAGGCTCTAAACATTTATTTTGTTTCTACTTGGGAAACAGTTCTTTAGACTGTGGAAGACTCTTGCCTTTGTCTTTCATCTTGTTCACTACTATGTGAAAACGGTTTCGCCGTTTCCTTTGTAGTCATGAAATAAATATACAGAGTTCAGAAATGAAATATAGAGATAACAAACAGTAACCAAGCTCAAACGTCCATTGAAACAATACAAACCGGGAGCAGCGCAAACACGGACCTATAAAAACATGATGTGGGATCGGGAGTCATTGAGAAGTAACAATCGCCTGTCGACCGGTAACATCTGTCGTGCATTCCTTGTCATGATCGAGAAAACGGAAAAATCCGTTGACAATTCAGTGTGTAAATGATGGCCCCAATTAGTGGGAAATGCAAATGGTTAATTCAAACGAAAGTGTTGAAATTCTTGTTTCATCAATTTGTTTCATAAAAGCTTGTCTCGTTTAAGAAATTGTCCGTACATAAGGCATTCTCTTGCATATCGAATTAATCTGGAGACATAAGAAAGGGAAGTTGACGAGAGAAAATTTGAAGTCGTCAACTTTGTTACAAAGTTTTGTTGATACTTAACCATTCAAGTAAAATACCCAAATGTAAAACAGATGTGTCAGATTCTACGGCATCTTTTATTTCAAGCTCACCAGGATATATCGACCCGAAATATGGATGGAAATAACTATTGTTAATTGATAATACGTTGTAGATTTATCTAAATGTCGAGTTGAAGGCCACAGCAAGTGTTTTTTCCTTCTCAGGAACACGTTTTTGAATATATTCTGCTTCATATGAATACAAAATATGTCTGCTAATAACGGGGCGCAATTAGTACCTATGGAAATTCCGACAGATTGTAGGAAGATCTGATCTCTAAAAACTACATAGATATTGTCAATCAGAAACTCAAGCATCTTCTTAATATCAACTTAGAGTATTATGTGTACAAACAGAATTTTTTTAACAAAATAATTTTGCAAATGATTAATGACAAAGTATGTAAATTAACGAGTTCCTTTTTTATTGAAAAAAAGCAGCTATGTATAATTTAAAAAAAGCCTTTATCATTTGGAAGATAATTATACAATTTAATTTATTGGGGGAAGATAAATAATCGTCTTTCATAAAAAAAAATCATCTAAATCTGTTCACAATTGTTTGTGAAATCCTCTCGACATACCAATGCATGGACATACAAACACTTGTAAAAAAGGTAACCCCCTTCTTGTGTTGCCAATCTGCCCCACATGAATACAATTGAATGCCTTACGTTCAAGAACATTAAAAAGTGTCAAAATATTTTTTAAAAATCAGTTTACTCTATATACACTAAAAATAGCGTCTTTGCTGCAAACTACATTTCAAAAGGTTCTATAAGAATACAATGTCTGGGAAGCACTGCTTATAATGGCTTTCTCGAAGGCCTGTATGCTTTATGCTGATAATGTCAAATGGTATGCATTTAACTTACATATCTGGAACGTAAATAGCATATCTTCATTCTTACCTTCTCGTTATTTCCATCAATATGAACTGTTTGCCTTTCGGCATTGTCTTCATCTTCCGAACAATGTTTTCCCTAAAAAAATAAAAGTAAAGTTTTGTCATTCTTTGAAAATATATGTATCATTATGAGATTTAAGAGATATTGCTATATTGCTTATATAATGCATGGAAATTATATTTTCTTGATAAGCAGTAAGAATGCAGCAATTTTTTGAAACCCCCATACATACCTCACATTTTTTTTCATTTCTAAATATATAATGCATGTAAATTATATTTTCTTGATAAGCAGTAAGAATGCAGCAATTTTTTGAAACCCTCATACATACCTCACATTTTTTTCATTTCTAAATATATATTGATTAAATGATCATAGACAATTTGTAATTAAATCTTCATTAAATTACCTTATTTTCTACTTTCTTTGATCGTGTATGTTCATTTGACATCAAAGTTCTTTGATTGAGATATTCTTCTAAAATATCTACTATTTCATGCAATCCATCGTCTGCAAACATAAAAAAGCAAAAAAAAAAAAAAAAAATAAAATAAAAAGAGGCGAGTGAGCTGTGTTTTGCACATTCATTTCCATACTCCTGTTTCTTATCAAGCCTAGCAGATAATTTGAATTCACTTTTTATACTGTAACATGGCTTTGGATACAAATTGAAATGTATATGTACGTGTAGATTTATATGTCAACAAGCATAACAAACCTGTCAAGAAACAAAGGAAATTCAACATGGTTTTAGTAACGAATTTTTGTTTGTCTCATTTTCTTTTTATTTTAGACATGCCTTCATCTAATGAACGATGTTTCCTTTTTTTTCGACGTGTGCATTTATTATACTTAAAAAAATATATATGCTATAACATGCTACTATTTATTTTTTAGTTTATTTATTTATTTATTTGTCGCTTTAATACACTCTAAAGTAGTTATTTACACTAGATTTTTTTTAATGTTTAAAAAGAGATAAACATTATGTGTTGGTATGAAGGATGTCAAGCCCTTGTATATTTACTTAACAATGTCAGTTAGTGAACTTTACCCGGCAGTATGATAACCACGAAATAGATAAATTCTATACGCGCATAAATATTTACTAAGTGATTTTCAACAAGTCTTGTCATTCTATAAGAACCAACTTTGAGACTGTCCGAAATAAAAGTTGTATTTTAGTCTGAATTCTTAGAGATATAAAGGGGATTTTTGGAAAATAGTCATATCATATGACGAATGTCATGCATTTGACTTTAAAATGATTTTGTATTATTTTGAGTGCAAGAAAGATACATATGATGAAAAACCTCTACTGTATGAATCTGCTGTATGAATTTCTTCAACAAATATAGATAAATAGGTCTATTTTCCCATCTTTATATTACGTATCGATAATTAAGAAAAGATTACACGTGTAATTTTAATTTTTAGAATTGGAAAAAATTGAAAGAAGATTTGCTGCTTTCTCCTTTTTTTTTTAATTCACATTAAGTCCATAAAAGATAAGACACTATAATTTGAAGAAGGAAAAATATCATGAAACCCTGGTTAGAATAGTTTTTTTTAAAGATGAAAAAAAAAACACCGGCCAGATATTTACATTGATAGATACGATTATGTATCTTCTAACATTTTTTTTAATAACAGCCCAAAATAATTACATCACAGTACCTGACAGCAACACAATGGCACATATTCGTTCACCCATAACCATGGAGTATTTAGAGGTGACATTTTGCATTCTTATACATTATAAAAGGTAATTTTCCATAATATGTGGCAAAAACCTCTTCCTTTTTGATATTTTGTGATCTGTTCATTTCTTCATGGTTAAGCTACATCACTTGGCTGCATTTTCAAGTGAATGAAACTAATCATCAAGTTTCTATAGCTACCATGTTTTTCAAGGGACAACAATGTTTTCTGCATCTTGGTTTTTTAAGGTCTGATAATCTAATATTATTTTGAGAGAGGAGGGAGCGAGGGGAGAGAGAGATAGTTAATGTCATATGCACTGAAAACAACAAACGCCACCTTGAATGAAAGAAAATATTGCATTGTCAGGTTTACCAGCACCTTCACTGGAAACAAAAGTGCATTCAAAACACAAAAACGCTTATTAAAGAACTTTTTGGTGAATTATAAGCAACTTAAAAAATGAGCAATATTCAGCATTTTGAGGACGTTGTTAATTTTCTATCACAGAAAAAGATAATTACCATAAATTAAATTCTTTTTTATAAAATGCATGTAATTTTTTTTAAAAACTAATTAAATTATAAAACATCATACATTGTACAATTCATTCTCCTGTTGATTTAATACAATACCTTTTTCATATATCCCCGTTGTTGGCATGGCACTCGCAACACCAAGACAAAACACTAAGATAATATATGATTTATAGTACGTGTCCATTCTCTGCATACGTTTCTGTTTTAAACTTCTAAAATGCTTTTGCTTGTTTTGTTTTGTTTTGTTTTGTTTTTTTTCAGAAGGGTGGTTTTCTGAGCTTCAGTGATCAAAAAGGGACTTGTTACGCTGCTAGTGACCTTGAATTTGAATAGAATTTTAAAAGGTAAACTAAATCCTGGGCTTATTTATGATCATGACTCAATATGTAATAAAATTACAAAAGAAACTGTAAAATTATACATATTCTTAAGACCAACATTTATGGTTTCGAGAAAAAAAAATGTTGTTTTTTTGTGGATTTGATTACATGGATAAACAATTGTTGAGTATATATATATATATATATATATATATATATATATATATATATATATATATATATATATATATATATATATATATTGGGGAGGAGTAGGAAAATTATATTTTATGACAGACGTAAATTCGTTGGTCTCTTATATGTAGAAAACAACGAAAATTTAACCCCTGCAAAATTGATTTCTTCATACTATGTACCTTAGTGTAATAGTACACAAGAATTCTTCTCTATCAATTACTTTTAAATCCAAATGTGATTTTCTCTTTTTAAAATAGTTGAGGAATGATCAATCTATATAACAACACAACGCTTTGACAAACATTTAGTCAAGTTCTAACACTGGTTTTGATCTTGATGTCGGGAGAGCCATAAAAAGCTTGAAAAAGAACCTTTCGAAAGGTACCTTCAAGGATATTAAATATAAAATATACACTCTTTGCAGATATTATCTCAAAATTTTCATTTTTTTGCTTTAGAATTCTGATATGATTTATTCATTGGAAATGCAGAATTTTATAGTCACGCGTTGAAGGATCAAATTGAAAAAAATACCCCTTATATGTTTTCATTCTAAAGTGTTTCTCCGCGTCATAAAAATGGTTTGATACATTGAATTTATTTCTTTTTAAAAATGTTATAATATATGTATCTTTTTTATTTAAAAAAAAGATATCAGACTAAAATGTGGATAGTATATTTATCATACATCATTAAAACATGATTTTTTTCATTGATATTACATCCGTTTCCTAGATGTCAGGAAATGACCAATACGAATTAGCAAGGACGCTTACATTTTAGTTTCAAAATTGCCCTACAGGAAATTCAATTGGCTCGAATTGAATCTAAGCAAACGTAGATTGTTGATGTGTCTTTTTCAGTTTGATGGACTGTTATATGAGGCTATTTTTTTTTAAATCTTGAAATCAGTGCGCCTTAAAATATCGGTGATGTCTAAATGCATATATTCCCTTTTATCACTAACCATCCTGATCAGTGGTTTGTCTGCGTTCGGTAAGATTTTCTATATATAAATGCAATCATTTCATTACGTTACTTCATTTTTAAAATATCTAAAATGAGATAAAGAAAATAACTTTTCTCTCTAAATTTTTTAATTACATTTTTATTTTTCCTTATCACCGCAATTTTATGTATAAAATCAAGAGCCCAAAATTAAATACAATAACATAAAGTTATGATAATCATGATTTTTTAAAAAGGGACTCATTATGATCTAGCTGAAATGTTTCTAGAGTTTTCTATTTGATACTCCCGCTTTTCCTTAATGGAATATTTTTTTTTTTTTTTTTTTTTTTTTTTTTTTACATTCATGGAGTTTAGATTGATTTTATCCATACAATTTCCTTTTGTCAAAATAAATTAAATTTTGACTATACTGTAATACAAAAATTAAAAATATTCCATGCATAGATCTCTTGGTATACTTTTATATAAAAGTCACTGATCAATGAAATATTGAAAATCAGAAGGAAAGAATAAATAATTTTCAAAGATTTAAAATTAGCTTTATTGTAGAAATATCGTATAAAATAGTTAAAAGATCAAAATATAAAGATAAACTTGAATCGTGTGTACTATAATTCCAGTATTTTTTTTAATAATTAGTGAACATAGCATATAAGCGACCAACATGGCAGAGAACCACTCACCCTTCGAAGTTTGGACCGGACAAGGCAGTCGATGGATTAAAATCTAACTTATCTGCAGGCGGTCATCAGTGTAGTATATCTGCAAATTATCAAAATATAGCTTCATGGCGAGTCAACCTGCTTGGAATAAAGTTTATTGATCATGTAGTTATATACTACAGAACAGACAACAATGTTTGGGGTACACCTACATTAAATTTTATTAGACGTGTTTCATTTGTATTGGTACACTGCATTATTAAATACCTGCTTAATATATTTAAATAAAACTCTTTCCTTTGGATATCTAGAAAGGAGTCAATTAAAAAAAGGTAATTATTTTACTTAAACCGATATCTACCAGAAAATATTCATAATGAGGAAAATTGTATAAATCTGTGTATTTTTTCAGGTGAAAATAATTCTTTAGCTGGGAGATTTCTCGGATTCTCTGTCTATATATCAGATACAGAAAATAAGGAGGATGGCAGGTTATGTTTCCATGACACCGAGTACAACATGACAACAATACCAGCTGTAGCTAATATCACGTGCGAGTTATACGGCCAGTATGTTATCTATTATAACGAAAGGAAAAACGACACGGTTTATCCGATTGGTTATTCTAAGTATGCATACAGTGAGCTCTGTGAAGTTGAGGTTTATGGTAAGAATTATGATA